CGCTGACCATTACTGTCAGATTATACTGGGATTTGATGTCGCGGTCGAGCGGTCCGGTCACCACAATTAGATATATAACGTTGTCTTGAGTGGTGAGACCAAAGCTGTCGTCATTTCCCGTTAAAGAAACTGACAGTCGATTGTGATCTTCTTTATTCTTGGCGTTGATGGAGAAGTCACTGGAGTCGGCGTCGTTGACCGAAACCCTGGCCACTAAATCGCCTATTTTTGCATTTTCGGGTATTTCTTGTCTCGCGTTCTCCGTTAGAAACAGTAGACTAAACGTCGGCTGATTGTCGTTCACATCCGTCACACGTATGGACACTAACGCCGACGTCTCCAATGGCTGAGCGCCGGAATCTCTAGCGATTACCACCAACTCGTGTATCTCTTTGCTCTCAAAATCCAGTGCTTTGGCCACAAATATCCAGCCGTTGTGTCGGTTGATCTCAAAATACGGCGACAAACCTGATAGCGGTTTACTATGCAATGAGTATGTGATGAGTCCATTGTCTCCCTGATCATTGTCGGTCGCCTTAACCCTCAAGAGTGGTGTTCCCAAAGTGACATTTTCGGCCACATTTCCGTAATAATGACTTTCACTGAACACGGGTTCGCAGTCGTTGTGATCCAACTTTTGTTACAACAAAAATAGCGATTATTACCAAACATAAGGACAATAAAATTGATTGTACTTACAATTGAAATCCTAACAGTCATCTCATCCCTGAGCTGTGGTTGTCCGCCATCGAGCGCCTCAATCACGAGAGTATAGTTGGCAGTCGTCTCCCTATCGAGAGGACCGTTCACCTGAAGATCCAGATACAGGACGTCATCCTTTTCCCTGTGACTTAACAGTCGGAAAGCGTTTCCGACATTTCCCGATACTATGCGATACTTTTGAGTCCCAAAATCGCCTGAAATTTGTCGATTAAAAAAACTCAGTGAACAACAAATACTTGACAATTAGTGAATGCAAGACATACCTAAATCTAGATCCCTGGCCGGCGGTAGTGTCCGCTTAACATCTCTGGGTTTACTATTTTCAGGAAATTCTAAATCGATTTCATTTGTTGGAAA